AGTTTAATTAACTGCTAATGTGGTGTCCTTAAAGTGAAACCTGACATATTCAAATTTCTTTCAGTGATGAGATTTTGTGCTTACATATGTCTGGCAATAGACTGTAATGGATAATTTTTCATACTTTATTTTGAATGTTCCTCCTCTATAAACATTCTATCACTGGGCAATTAAACCCAGTTCCTCATTCCTGTGCGATTAACTCAACAGAAAGTGGACAAGGTTTCTGTTAATTATATTTTAACATATTGTGGAGGCGGCATGTATATGTGTGGGCATACACATACCATGGATTGAAAGTAGAAGTTTATTAGACAGTTTATTAGAACCAGTTTTCTCCTTCCACTATGGGCCCCAGGAATCAAACTCAAGACACCAGGCTTTATAACAAAACAGTACTTGGCTGATATCATATTTTAGTCTCAGAGGTGAAAAGAAAGAAAAGGAGCATTTAAATGCACAAGATAATATCTAAGGCTTAAAAAAACTAGAAAAGGATTTGATTTTAGGTATTTATATGAAAATGTGATACAGTCTTAGCAGATAAGTGTATTTTAAAGTTAAATCTAGAATTCACAGAATAAATTAAGTGAGAAACTTCAAAAAATATTTCCCTCTAAATTTCAAATTTCCTAGAGTTAGCATTGAGGTGTTAAAGTTAGTTTTCCTTGCGTTTCCTAAGGAAGAGATAACACGCAGTCTTCATCACAAGTAAGAACCTAGTAGTTGGCTGTACATGTAAAATCTTCAAGTGTTTACAAGACATATTATAACACCAGAAATGGTTACTTGGCAAACAACTTTGAAACTAAATTTGGTAAGAAGGACAAATTCCAGGCAAGCTCATTTACGCACATGTGGGTTTGCTCTGACACTGGAGGCGCCCATCCCAGGACAGAGCAGGTCCAAACCTTCAGGGCCAACACAAACACACTCAGAGAGGGGCATTCACTTCTTCACTTTGGGATGGTTAAGGCAGCATCTGGACTGGAGCAAGCCAAGGCAGCACCAGGACAAAGATGTACTGGTGACATGGGAAGATTTGATTATGAGTACTATTCAAACTCAGCAGCTGCAGATGAATAGGGTTGCATGGGTCTGAATGAAGAGAAAACATGCAATTGTTCCTTTTGCATGGATGGCGGTCACAGACACATTTAGGGTTTTGGAAAGGGGCATTTTCAAACTCCTCGTCCTCTTTTATTTTCTTTTTTAGCTAAAAGGCCATGCCTACTTTCTCACCTATAATGGGATTCGCCATCATCAGAGTCAACAAATTCACAGGAGACAAAGGACATTCTTCCCTGAGCCGATTCTAAGAAGCTCCAGGGCTTCCAGACTGCATAATATCACAGAATTGTTTGTAACGCTTCTCTAAAAGGGTGACAGGGTTGAGAAATGAACTGCACATGGTAAGAACATCCTCTAGAGGGTTATCCCTGCAAAATGAGCTGCAAGGCTAGGGGAGTGGTGGTGGTTTCTGGCCATTAGCATCTCTAATCAAGGGCAGCCTTGCTTTTTATGAAAATGGACACAGCGATTGATAATAGGTGTTATGTTCTCTCAAGTCCCCCTGCCCGGACTCTCCAAGTCACAATGAGACAAAAGTTCACTTTAATTGTCTTTGATTGGGATATTTCATTATTTTTACATATCCTGGGGGTAAAAGGTACCATGAAGGGGCCTTGTGTAGCAAATACATAGGGACACAGAAAAAATGGAGAAGTAACCTTAGAAAAAGAAAAGTGAAGTTAGATGACAAAATTAAGTGTTTGGCTGAAGATTTATTTTGAGTTAAAATGTTTATAGCATTAAATTTCTTTCTTCTGTAAATATGCCATGTAATAAAATTAGTGGAATTTTAGAATAATCTATCTCTCAGGCACTTTGCTTTCTTTTTTTTCAACTCAAAATGATTTTTCTTCTTGCATTAGAGTGAGGAGTGTGGTGGGATCTGGGTAACAGACACAAAGTCAATAACAGTGCATAGAAAGAGAGCCTATGAACACCATCTCAGTTTTAGAGAATACCAACAAAGATTTTATCAATGGGGGAGAGATAAGAAATCATCGGGAAGTGGGAGACAACAAAACATGGAGTCATTCTTAAAATTTAGGGGAGAAATTGAAGTGGGAAGTGACTCTGGAAGAGGGGTGGAACACTGGAAATAGTGACAACTGGTGTCAAGACCAATAAAATAGAGCTACACAAACTGCTAACTCTGCACATCCCCAATTGCAGAGCTCTGGTCACTCCCTGTTCACCAGTAAGCACAGAGGATACCAGTAAGCACAGGGAAAAGACAAGGCTACTGTCAGGAGCTTACCAACCTGGAAAAGGACATGCTCATGCTGGGAAAGCACAATGTGTAACATTGGTTAAATGCAGATGGTAAAGATAAAGTGTTGCTCCTCTCCCTCTAAACCCAGAGAAAATTTCACACAGACACTCAGATTTAAAGGCATGGTTCTTTTGTGTAGAAAGTATATGTCTTTACATTTTATGCCATGAGAATTTCTTCTTACATGATTCATAGAAAGTAGATGAATTTACCTTCTGAGACAAGATTTCATTATGAAGCCCAGATGGCCTGAATCAATAATCATCCTTCTGCCTCAGCCTCCAGAGTACTGTGATTACATGTCTGTGTTAGCACATGGCTAAGTATTTGAACTGTATGAAGAAAACACACACACACACACACACACACACACACACACACACACACAGTGATATCTTTCTTCCACAAATAAAGCCTCTCTGGGGGTCAGAGAATGGAGGTTGCCACTAGCTAACTATAGAGGTCTGGAAGTCTGTGCAGACAGGCAGGAAGTGACATAGCTGGGCAGTAACAGTATATAAGCAGGGATAAACAGGAACTCACTCTCTTCTCTGTGGAGATGCTTAGGAGGTAAGGTATGCTGTGGCTTGCTTCTTCTCTCTGATCTCTCAGCATTTCCCTCTCTATCTGACTCTGGCCTTTTATTATCTAGACCATTAAGGACTCCATTTACACACTGGCGCCCATCATGGGGGCCTGAATCCATGACCCTGAGATTAAGAGTCTCATGCTCTACCAACTGAGCTATCACCACATAAATACTCACACACATATATATCACATGAAACATTCAAACAAGAGGATTTGAGAGGTCTGGACAGCTTCCATCTGAATACTCATGCACTTAGAACTTCAGGAAAAAGGTGAGGGAATGAGAAGGTTTATGATTGGATTCTAAGGTTCTCTGATTCTTGTGTTATTCTAAAGAGCACAGGGCTACTTCATCCATGAAAATACAATTCAGCACGAAGAAATTGGCAACTCAGTGCTAAGAACATGGATCTCTGCCAACATTGACTTGGCAAATATGAAAAAGAGCCAAAGGAAGGATTTAAAGAACTTTCTGACTCCTCTCGTGGTGAACTTGGATTCAGTACATGCACTAGCCATGACCTTGGAGCTTCTGTTTGTTCCTGCCAGAATCAGGAAACAAATGGAAGGTCTCAAACTGTGTTATATAAGGTACTTCTAACTTGCTCTACAATCTCAGATATACAAAATTCCCTCCTTCTTCCAGCTACCCATGAATTATAAGTCTATGGTGTCTCATGGGGCCTGTAAAGAAACATGGTTAGTGTGTAGACAATGGAAAATTAACAGGCTTGTGAAGGAAGCTGAGCTTTTGAGAGGACCTAACTGAAAACAGAAAATCAATGGAGCCAGACAGACCCAAACATTGAGCCTCATTACTTAAGTAATACCAGCTAATGGCACAGTTGGGTAAGAGAAGTGCTAGCTAATGGTGATTTCCTCTTAAGTCCAAAGTGCTTAAACAGTTGACCCACTGGACAGTTATTATTTTAAGTTTAGGCTGCTCAGGAAAATGTTAGGTACTGAACCATGTGCTGTTCTCTCTCTCTCTCTCACACACACACACAGAGAGAGAGAGAGAGAGAGAGAGAGAGAGAGAGAGAGAGAGAAAGGGGGTGTACATATATGTGCCCATATACGTGAAAGCTAGAGGACAATCTCAGGTATTGTGCTTCAGAAACCATACTCCCTGTTTTCTGAGTCAAGGTGTCTCCCTGATTTGGAATTCATTGGTAGTATATTCTGGCTGGCCAACTAGGCCCAGAGATTCCATATCTCTCCTTCCACAGTACTAAGATTATAAGCACAAACTACCACACCCAGTTTCCTTTTGGTTTTGGTTTCAGGTTTTTTGGTTTGTTTTGTTTTGTTTTTTAAGACTGGTTCTGGGGATTGAATGCAAGCCTCATGTTTGCATGGCAACTATTTCAGCAACTGATAGATCTCAGGCCTCATATGCTGAAGGCTTAATTCCCTAGAACCTCAGAACATGACAGTGGGTGAGGTTAAATGCAGCCACTGGAGAGTTCTGATTGACACAATGGATCTTCCAATAAGAAGAGGGAATCAAAACCCTGACTGGCCCAGGGGAAAGAGAATGTAACAGTATGAAGGCAGCTTCTAAAAGCCAAAGAGACAGGCATCAAAAGAAACCAACTCCAAGATTTCTTGCTCTCAGACATCCAGTCTCCAGCACCATGAGAAAATACATTTTTCTATAGTGCTGGCCACATTAGAAAACAAACCCAGGGCCAATGTGTAGATCAGTGGTGGAGAGCCCACGAGGTCCTGGGTTCTGTCCCCAGTACCAGCTAAGGACAGAACTCTTCTATGAAGAGTCCTCTTGTCTGTTAATAGTTAGTTTATTTTTTTTTTTTTTTTTTTTTTTTTTTTTTTTTTTTTTTTGAGATAGATTTCCCCTATGTTGTGTGTAGCCTTGGGAACTCACTCTGTAGACCAGGCTGGCCTTGAACTCACAGAGCTCTGCCTGCCTCTGCCTCTGCCTCTCGAGTGCTGGAATTAAAGGCGCAGGCCACCACCTCCCTGCAACCCTCATGTTTTTTACAAAACAGTTCTGAAGTAGGACCCACAGTTCTCATGTGCTAAGTACATCTTGCATCATACTCACAACCCCGACAGGAAAGGCGAGCACGGCCAGCGTCCAGTCCCGCAGAGAGATGAGCTTCCTAAGCTGCCGTTCTTGCTCCTGGTTCCCGCTGTCTCTTGTCAGGAGAGTGGAGAGATCAGTCAGCACGCAGATACCGAAGAAGACAGCCTGGATGACCTGCAAGGAGGCAACCACCCGAGCTGATCAGCAAGAGCGACAGAGACCCACACTCGAGAACACAAAGGCAGCTTCATACATGAAGAGAATATGCCCATAGCTTCATTACAGAGCCCACTGTGAGAACGAAGACCAGAGGCTTTTGTTGTTGTTTGCTTGTTTGCCCATTTGTTTACAATTAACAAGGTAAGTGAGAGAATTCGCCTTAAACACACTTCTTCCATCCTCTCTCCCCAAGGCTCAGGGAACATCACAGAGAATGGGGTGGGAAGACTGTCAGAGCCTGAGATGCGGGAGCACTGCTGCATGGGGGAGGATTGTTGATAAACAGTGCCTTCTGGACATGACGGACCGGTTGCACTCATGAGCCCTGAGCGGCTACAGTCCCCTGCAAAACAGCTTCACAAGATGAAACCAGTAAAAATTCCAGTATAAGTGGAGGAGTGGCTCACAAAGCCCCACCCAAAGCTGAAGCACTTGAAGGCTGCTGGAGCAGGGAGAGTCAGTTTTCTCCAGGGGTGTGCTCCAGTGGATGGCCTCACACCCAAGCACATAAGGCAGCAGTGACAGAATGGATGTGATGGTTTAAAAGAGAAGAGCCCCACAGGCAAGCCTACACCATTTTTTCCAGTGATCTCTCTCTCTCTCTCTCTCTCTCTCTCTCTCTCTCTCTCTCTCTCTCTGTGTGTGTGTGTGTGTGTGTGTGTGTGTGTGTGTGTGACTTGAGCTCATGGATCAGGCAGAAACTCTCAGATAATACTCCAGTGCCATGCCTGCCTGCCTCTGCCAAGCTCCCCACCATGATGGTCATGGACTAACCCACTGAAACTGTAAGCAAGTCCCCACTTGAAGGCCTTCTTTTGTAAGTTGCCTTCTTCATGGTATTTTTTTTTATAGCAATACAAAAGTAACTAAGATGAGTTATAAGAAGTTGGAAGAGGAATGAGGAGAAGCTGGAGGGGGCACTTGGGTAGATAGAATCAAAATACATGAATAAAATTCCCAGGAATAATTTTTTTTAAAATCATGCTACCTTAAAAGACCTGCCATTAATCTGCCAAAACAGGAAATTTGAATAAATTACTCCAAATTGGAAAAAAAAGCCATCACCAACAAAATGAGCCATTTTTATTCTTCTGAGGATAATGAAGATGTACACACACACACACACACACACACACACACACACACACACCCCTATGTAGACTCAACAGAAAGAATATTAATTATCAAACTGCATATCCATTATTTTAAAGTTTGCATCTGTAGTCTGTTTCTACTCACTAGTGAGGCCTAGTAAATGCCTAAGACGAGAATGCAAAAGGGTGGACACAACCTAACAAATCACAAGCTAAATGTGGAGAGACCAGCTGTGTATTAATCTTTTAGTTATAGGCCTTTCATTTTCTGCCATGGGAGTGATAGAAATCTAGTCATAAAGAAATCAATTGAGCACAAAAATCCACTCTTTTAGAGAGCAACTTGCCACTATGAAGACTGAATGACTATTAGGTTTTTAGTACTTATGAAATGAAATCTTCCCAAAGTAATGTAGAGATGCTGTGACCATTGTCTCTATCCAGTTGCCAGTACTACAAATCAATTACAAATGGAATTATTCACAACAGTCATACTTCCCTTGGACCAAGGCATGATGAGAACCCTGAAATAGTACAAACCAATAATTTGTCAACTTCCTGAAGCAGGGCCAAAGTTGTGGATGCTGAGTGCAGGCAGCATACCAGAGCATAGTTAAAAGAAATTACAGAAAGGGCAGAAAATGTATTTCCTGGGTCAGATCTTACGTACTTAACAACAAAGAACAGATAGATTCAGAAATTCCCTGACTTCTTCAAGCAGAAATAATTTACTGATGACTTGGTTTTAAAGGATATAATTCTCCTTATTTTATAGAATACAACAAATGCTTGAGAAACAATAGGACATTTCCACGTTGGCAGTGGGAGTTTTGTGCATGGTTCCTCACTTGGGCACTAAATAACATCTGGTTCCAGCTGTGATCTCACCCTGCAGCACACAGGGTTAGTAGCATAGGATTTGGGGACCTCCTCCAAACCCTGCTATTACTAGTCAACCAAAGCCATGGTCATGCTCCAGTTTTCCTCATAATTTAAATTGGTTTTTAGCTTCCATGGCTTAGACTCTATTGTCATTTTATAAATAGCCAGAGCAGGAGATGTTGAGACTGCCACAAGTGAGAAGAACACGTAAGTGGGGAACTAACGGCATCAGGTTCTGATAACCAGAGATAAATGACTCACAGAACAATTCCATACTTAGGAAATTTCTCAAGTCCTATCATAGGATTTAAGATGTTTGAACCTCTCTGGAAGTCTTCATGGGTTGTGAGACATCAGTGACCACGCCAGGGAATGATATGCTCCGTGACTGTTAGTCAGTGTTCTGTGTGACCAATACCTAGGAGAATTCAAAGTACAGCCACAATGAGATACCATTTCTCATCAAACTAGTGACACAAGTAAGTCTGACTCAACCAGAAAGTTTCTAGTGGGAACACAGCTTGGACAAACATTGTGAAGGACAATGGACAAACAGGAGCATAGAGATTCCTATGCACTCTTGCCCTGGTGAGTGGGGTAGGAAACCAGTGATTCTTAATCTGTGGGTTGTGACCTTTTTGGGGGCCAAATAACCTTTTCACAGGGATTGCCTAAGACAATCGGAAAACACAGATATTTGTATTACCATTCATAACAGTAACGAAATTATAGTCACGAAGTAGCAATGAAAACAGTTTTATGGTTGGGGGTCACCATAGCGTGAGGAACTGTATTAAAGGGTCACAGCATTAGGAAAGTGGAGAGCCACTGCCCTACAGAAACCTTGATACCTGTGAGTAGCCACACCTGGTGAAGATCAGTTTCTGCAATTACAGTTTTGCCAGAGTTGAAGCAATTTTCATGATTTTTAATATCAGACTGAATAACTTGTGCCAGAGTTATACAATGGAATTCACATCTCATAACAAAAACTTTTCAACCTTGACAATGAAATATTAAACTAAAAACAGAAACAAGAAATAGCATATTTTGACACTATTAAAATAAGTTGTGAAAATGCAAATATAAGGGTACATGCACAGGCAGTAAAATAGGAAGAAACACATGGGAATTAATAACACTGAACTTGGCCTGGAGAGACGGCTTAGTGTTACGATTTGCTGCTCTTCCAGAGGACCTGAGCTCAGTCCCCAGCATCCACTAAGTCTCCCAACTGCTTGTTATGCCAGTTCCAGAGAATCCAACACCCCGGTCTCTGTGGGCACACACATGTGGTGCACACTCACACAGATGCACAAAACATGTGTGAATAAAAGTAAAACCAAATAATAACACTGAACTCAGATGCCTCTGGAAAAGAAGAGACTGTGAGAACACACGAGCTCCGATTTCCTAAAATTGATGATTGAATCTATTGACACTATATTATTTTTACTGTATTTTAGTTCATATTTTTAGTATCTGTTCTTTCTAACTCAGCCTCCTCTAATTCTAGGGCCGGGGAGTCATGGCAGGTTTGGGTGAGCTCAATATGTTTAGCATTGTACCATATGCAAATACCTACAGGATTGTTTTTCTACAGGCAAAGAAAGTGGAAATTTGGCTTGGTGCCAACAAAGCATAAATATCCAGAAGTCACTCGCTTTATATAACCTGAGAAAGAACAAAAAAAAAATTCATTTGTGGACAGGTGCAAGGAAAAAGGTCTAGTTTAAACTTTTACAATAGTTTCCAAATACACATGAATTCACTACTATTCTTCACCTTAAAATGCCAGGATATAGTCACTATATTCTTTGTGCCTTGATGAGCTAATATAAAATATTTGGGCTTTTCCTGAAAGTATATTAGTCAATTTTTTTCTGATATGAATGTGAAGACTTTTGCAACTATTAGTTAAGCAGATTAAGCATACCTTACTCAAAAATCCATATGCTCCAAAATAAGAAAAATCTGAGTGTCAACATGGCACCACAGGCAGCAAATGCCACAGTTAACTTCATATAATGAGCCAACATCAAAATGCAAATCTACAGCATCCCCATGAGAAAAAGACCCTCTAAACCCTTCATCTGTGATGCATAACTGTGTTTTATGAATCAATCAAGAGTATTGTACAAAGTTAACTTCCAGCAGCTGCACTTGAAAAAGATGGTCCTACCTCTTGCCACCAGCATGGGAGAGTTAGCCCCTATGACATGGGTCTAGAAGAGCTGACTCTGTCCCTCAACTGAGGGGGCAGTGCCAGTGCCCAGACTGACCAGCTCAGCTACCACCCAGTCCCACATCCTAAGCCTTGGGTTGGTCCACCCTAACATTTACCCCATCTATGACCTGCTGGAGTGCATGAAGGGACTGGTCCTGCAAAATGATAGCCGTAGGATCTCCATGGCTCCAGACAACAGTAGAATGTCTGAGAAGAGCTTCTGTGAGTGTCCAGTGATGATGGTGTGCCAGAGACCTTGAACCAGCCAATGATTCATTGCAATGAACATTTTGTGGGTGGGACTGATTGGACCAAAGGGAGTACTGGGTGACACACTGTAGCTCTCAATGCCACCAGAAATGAAGAGATGGAGGAGTGAGATATTTTTGTTGTTTACCTTGTTTTTAATTAACGGGGGAGCATGCTGCAGGGGTAAGGAGTGGATAGAAAGGGACTGGAAGATGAGTGGGATTGGGGTACATGATGTGAAATCCCTAAAGAATTATGCAAAAAATATTTTTTTTTTAAAAAAAATACCTTCCAGCTAAATGCACAAGGCACATTAACAAACGGATTTTGTGTTAGACATTGGTCCCATCCTCAGGTCAGGCCACTGCTCACAGATTGTGTACATACAAACACTGCAAAAACTAGAAAAACGTAACACTCATAGTTCCAAGCATTTTTAATAAGGCATATTCAACCTGTGTCACATTAAGAAATTGATACTGTTGAATATGAGGCCAGGTAAAGGATTTTTATGTAAACAGACATCTTGTTGACTTGGGAAAAGCATGCTTTTATGAAGTTATAAAAGGAAAGAGAAGTGGAAAATGTAAAAGAAGGGGGGAACCAGAAACATTCTAGGAGAGGAGAAAACCAAACAGATGTGTAATAAACAGTATGTAGTAGCTGGTATCACAACTTGACAGAGATAGAAAACCTAGGAGACATATATCTCTGAGCATGCCTGTGAGGGAGTTTCTAGATTAGGTTCATTGAGGTTGGAGACCCACCCTAAATGTAGGTGCCACCATCCCATGGGCTGGGGGTCTGGACAAAATGGAGAGAGTGGGCTAGAACCATCTTTGTGCTCTCTCTCTCTCTCTCTCTCTCTCTTTCTCTCTCTCTCTCTCCTTGTTTTTGGCTGCAGAAATCACCCCTTCTTTTCTTCTGCTGCTTCTATCAGATACTTTGTTACAACCATGACAAGAGTAATTAATACGTATTCTAAACAATCATTTGCAGAATAGTGTATCCTCACCTTAAGCAATGCGTCACCTAACACATCTGTGCCCTCACAAGTGCTTGGTGGCTTCCCTGCGCCTCTCTGTAGTCTTCTCAGTTGCCTCTCTCCAGCTTGCATACAGTGACCTCAACCTTACCAGAACTACTAGGAGCACCTCCCCAAGTGAGAACTCACAGTGAGGAGAGGGAGGCACTTCAAAAGCGTTTCCTGGTGTCTAAGGTTAAAAAGGAGGAGGAGGAAGAACTTGTGGGAGCTGTTACTATTTCTTTAACACACTCACTGGGAATGTACGTGGATGGTAACACACTTGCCTGGCTTGTACAAGGTCACAGGATCAGTACACAGCACTGCTAAAGAAAAGAAAGTCTGTCTTTAGCTTTAATCATCAAACAACAACTGGTAAAACTTCTTAAAACTTCTACCATTCCTTGACAATGGATTGACTTTTGGTTACTTGCCTAAAGAAAGAGTTTGCCAACGTTGAGACACTACTTTAGGTTTCTATCACATTTACTAGAGTTTGAATCCCACAGACTGTTATGAGATCCCCTTGGGGACATCTTACCCATGTTCTTCTAATGCCTTGAGGTACCACTCTGTCCACTGAAACCTCACTAAACTGTTTACAATGTAATGCTATGTGGAGATGCACAAACAAGTCTTAAGCAGGGTTACCTTGAAGTATAATTTGGCTGCAACCATTCTGCAGAGCTGGCATTTCCACCCATCAGCTCAGCAGGACATGGATGTACACCATCTGGCCGTGAGTTCTTAGCAGGTTGGTTGCTCTTATTATTTTTTATCTCATATAAATGGAGTGGCCCAATGTACCATATCACTCCAATAAATATAGATATTGATCCGAAAAACAAAGCCATCTCACAGTGTTTGGAGTCATTCAGTGTTTTCTCTTCTAGAATGTTCTCAACAGTTCCATTACGCTTGTATCGCTTCTCCACCTCCTCTTCCTATCCAGAAATCATAGCTTAGTTACTTATTCAATTTTGAATGAGGGTTCATTTTCTTGAGCATAAAAACATACCCACATTCCTTTCATATTTTCACACATGATCAATTTTAAATAAATATACATTAGGATTTTCTTTATCTCCAGAATGCATTAAATACTTTTAATATTCTGTGCAATGGGAGAAATTCCCTAGACTTGTAGCGTTTGTTCCTGAAGAGATATTACCTTTTTGTCCAGACCACATTTTATTTGACTCCAATATACCATTTTCAGTATCTTAAACAAAATGAAATTGCTCCAAATTATATTCCATATAATAAGTTTTGATATTACCTAGTTCCTAATTTGAACATTTCTACTGAACTGAACTCAAGCAAGACACACAAAATGGCAACAAAGTAGAAACAGCAGCAATATGAAGTAAGAAATGCAATTATTATTTACAGAATTCTAAACAAGCAGAATGCAGCACCTTGACTATAAGGTTTTCTGGGCTGCCATCTATAGTGCCACTCGGTAGTGATGCTTCATTAAAAGACTGGGGTGAAGAATGCCATGTTGGTATTGAAGATCCTGCTATTTTTCCAGTGAGCTTTTGCCATAGCAGACAGAAACGACATGGAAAGGGGGGAACTCAAAGGGGAAGCAACAGGAAACAGAGTGACACAGGTCATGGAATAAAGAACTGGGGAGAGAACAGATGGGAAGGAGGTAGCCAGATTTATCGTGTCATAAAGAAAGGCCCGGAGGAGTCTCTGTGTGAGGACGAGAACATTAATTAAGGAGGAAATGATGAGGAAGTAATGAAAAAACCTACCTGTGCTCTTATAATTAGAGAGTATAAGGGCATAGCCAGGCATTGGAGGAATCCATACATAATCCAAAAAACAGAAGAGCAGGCAGGTAGGC